GGGCTGGAGGAGATGGTGGCTGCTGAGCTTCACGGGCGCAAGAGGTCGTACTAGTTTATCAGGTGGTGTGGGCCACCCTGGGGCAGGGGGAGGAGAGGGGAGATGTGTCTCTCAAAGCAAATGCACCAACGACCTACTTAACTTTGAAAAGTGATACAGAAAGCAGGGAAGGATTTATGGCACACAGGATGCAGAGAGTAAATTTGTCTTTGACTTTGCTGTTCCCCTCACTTGCAACTTAAACTTGAGCTGAATTGGTTTTGAATGTGCGCCCTTTACAGGACCCCTGCTTGTCTTTGGAGGATATGCAGAGATTGGAGAGGGAAGACAGGATCTATTATCAGGTGGAGGGCTTTTTTACTGAGACTAAACTTAGGCAAATTATTTTTATCCATGCTGAGAGCTTATGACAGAGCTTGTCCATGAGCTCTTCTTAGCTCCAGCATACAAAATCATAAAAAAAAAAAAAAATTAGTCTGACAGCTACATCTTATTCTATTAGTACGTTTTAATTAGAACATTAGAACATGGGCAAGAAATGCATTATGAATATTCATGATCAGGGTTATTAAAATGCACAATTAATCTGTATGTTTTTTAATAACTATATTAATGGAAGGAGAAGGTAGTTCCTATTTTTGTGTTCTCTGAATTGGAAAGCATGCCTTAACTTGGTTAGTTGGGAAATGGTTTTATTTTAAAATAAAGTTGGCTGCCAACAGCTGCGTGCACACGTGGGTGTCTACAGAAACTACGGCCACCCTGCCTTGGAAGATGGTTAGAAATGTTGCAAAGTCAGGCCCTCAAAAGTTAGGATATGCCAGAATTAAACTTGCTTGTGCAAACGTAATTCAGCTCTGCGCCATGTGATTTTGGGATATCGTCTTGGTCAGTGACTCTGGTGCCAGCAATGCAACGGGGAAGGCCGGTGCCAGAGAGGTCCAGCATTACGAGCTGGGAAAGGCGTGACCCCGTTCAGTGATGAAGCAGTCTTTGGAGATTTTGGTCATACCTGTAGAGCAAAGCTCTGCTGAGCGCCAGAGATAGGTGGCTTCCCAAAATTTTCTAGCTTTGGCCAAACTTTGAATTTTCAGTGGTTTGGCAGGGAGCATTTGCTGCTAAATTTTAGTTCCTTGCTGATATGAAAGGAGAAAATAGGTTCACGTTACGTGTATGATGCTTGCCAGAAGTCTAAAGTGGGCAGTTTTTTTTTCCCCATGTGCCTCCCAGAACCAGTCCAATTCTTAAAACACCTATAGGCTGAAAATGGGAAACTTTGCAGACACCCTCCCTGCTGACGATTATAGCTCGGGGAAAGACATAAGACCTTATTTGCAATTGCTTCGAAAGGCAAGTGCTGGCCAGCCGGCCCCGGCAGCCCTGCAGCGATGTGCCTGCACAGGCACATGCGAAGCTTGTTTAGCCCGTTTGGTTTGTGTGCCGATTCCAGAGCTGTGCGCCACTTTATTTGCTGGTCGGATGAAAGCATGATAACCTCAGTTCACCTTGGCAGTAGCGTGATCACGTGAACGCCAGCGCCTGGAGAAAAAAAAGGAGGAGGGAAAAAAAAAAAGGCCTTTTCGATTTCCCCTTGCAGGGTTAGTTTGCTGTTCCAGGCTCTGGCCGCTGCTGCTTTTGCAGCCCGGCCGCGTGCTCCAAAGCTGCTTAGAGGAGGACGGGATTTTTCTCCCAATTCCTGCTCAGCTGGAGTAGAGGGGGAGGGCGAATCCCAGGACACGAGTTGCGGGCTGGCAGGGATCAGGACACCCAGACTGTGCTGCGATGCTGTTTGAGCACCGTCCCTCTGCCTGTGCACCTGCCAGCTGTGCACCCCCCGACACTGCCCCGCGGGGTGGCACAAGCGGGTGCCCCTGTCCCTCGGCACCAATCTGGTGGCTGCTGGTAACGTCTGCTGACTCTGTCACCTGTAGAGCTTGCCTTATACTCTTGCCCCTGTGCTGGAGGAGCCCTGGCAGGGATTTTTCACAGATTTCTGGCCAAAAACACATCCTGGCCTTGCAGACACCTGAAGTTTCTCCACATCCCTCCGCTAGCCTGCACCGAGGTGTTCCCTCCAGAGAGAGTACAAAAAGGACCAGGTCTGGGGGAGGCTGGGGAATTTTTGCCTGCCGGCTCCCTGACAAGGAGGACAGGGTGAGTGAAAGGAAGGATGTGTGGTGTCATCAGGGCTTGCTCAAGTCCTTGTCCTTCCAGTGCATGGCACGAGTTTGCCAAGGATGTTCTGGCTGCAGTTACTGTTTGCGTCTTCACCCTGACTGTTGAGATGCTTTAAAAATACCCATGAAAGCAAAATGAATAGAAGGAGCATTTCTGCCTCCTGATCTCGATTGGTGTTTGCAGGGTATGCAGATGAATTGCTTTAGAAAAACACATTAGCAAAGCAAAAGTTTATTCTAGGAAGTAGGAGGTGGGAGAATTGGCAGTAATTCTCCCTAGTATCCAAGGTATTATTAGAGGCTTATCCCTGCTCTGCACAGTAATCACATTGGAAATTTTTGATTAGAAAACAAAATCTAAATGAGAATTATGAATATTCATTAGGTGTAGAGATTAATATGCATAATTATGCAAATTAGACAGCAATTAAACACCAATTCTCTGGGGAAATGATTAACACAAAGGCACAGAAATAGAAGGATGTAATTTGAAAGAAGTTTCTGGTTAAATGAACAGTAAGGGGAGCGGAGGAGACAAATACATGGCGTGTTTGCCATAATAATAAGCTTTGCTAAAATGAAATTGGTTTGTGCCCTGAAACTCTGCACCCACCCCGTTGCCTTGTTCCCTGTAAGCACCCTGTTGTTCTGTGCAATCCTTTGGTGTTGTTGCTGTGACCAAAGGGTATGAACCAATCTCTCTCTCTCTCTCTATCTCTCTCTCTTTTTTTTTTTTTTTTTTTTAAAGAAGAAAATCTCACATAAGGCCCTGCAGGCACCTCTATCATGTGCACATATTGCATTTGAAAAGGCAAAAGCGGTGGATTCAGTGGGAATCTGCGGAGAGCCCAGCCAGATCCCCAAGGACCCGGGACCTGGAGAGGGCTCTCAGCCCTGGGTTGTGCTCATTGGCGCTGGGGAGACGGAAGCCGTGCTGGTCATGCTGGGTGTGCTTGGAGGTGGAGACAGTGCCACATTGGCGGTGCTGGTCCCTTTGCCCCAGGAAGGTCTCACCTCCCATGGTTGCTCCGCAAGGGTGTCCTGGCAATGGGCTGGGAGCTGCCTTCGATGCTGGCCCCGGGGTGACTCTCGCTTGCTGCAGCCCTCTATTGGAAGAAGGCCATAGGTGCGATGGTCCCCTTGGTCCTGCCTGTGCCGGGAAGGGAGTGTTTTGTGTCTGCTAGGTGATGCTGCAGTTAAAAATTCACAGAAGTTGTTCAAAGTATTTTTGGTCAATGCAAGGTTTGAGATGGTGGAGTTAGTGAATGAGACTGTCCAAGAGCGTAAAAAAACAGTGGTTTCTGCTATCTCTGCACTGGTGTTTGGAGTGGGAGGAGTGATTTTGAATGTGTTTCCATCAGGAATGTGGTATTTCATGTTTGTAAGAACAAATCCACTCACAAAAGGCCACATTTGTTGGATGCTGCTGGGAGCTGCTGCACTAGCTCTCTGATGTGACCCTGTTGTGAGTAGGGCTGTATTCCCCCAACAATTAGATTAGGCTTTCCAAGACAAGCTAAAAAAAGGTAGAAAAATTGTTCTAATCCATGCCATTTGTGCTCCTAAACCACTTGATGATCTGGCCTTTCTTCCCCCCAGCCCCAGGTGGCTCTGCTGAGATATCAGTCATGGAGACAGAGCTGGCAACCTCGCAGGTCCACATCACGGACATACCCACTCCCCAAACACCGGCCTTGTCTGGTGGAGTCACGAAGCCCCGGCTGTGCTGCCACATGTCTCTAAAACAGTGCAACGCCAATGGCTGTTCGGCTGATCCACAGGAACGGCCTCATAGCCACGCAAGCATCATCCAGTGGTGCCAACACGGTGGTTTCCATGTGGAGGAAGCCTGGCTCTGCCTTGCATGGTGGAGGCTTTTTGTGCATGGCATCTGCAGGTTTAGGGTCCTGTCTATTTTGGCTTTGTAATTCCTGAAGTGCAGGCCTGGGGCGGTATTATCCCAGTTCACTTTGGCCATGTCCCGTGTGCTGGCGGCCCCAAAGGCCCAGGCTGGGTGGACCTCGCGGGTGATGAAAGCTCTCCTGTCAGGAGAAGGCTACATGCCACCACCTGCGTGTAGTCACATTGCAAAACTATCGTGTTTGGTTTGCTGCTGTTTTGGATTGAATCACCTTTGCAAAGGAGACGCTTTGGAGAACTAAAAGTTAAATTGGATCAACCCCGTGCTAACAGGCCAGTAGGACGTCTTCATCTGCAGGAGCATGGGGGTATCTCAAATAAAAATCACCCTCGAACAAGCCTGACTAATCCGCAGGTAATACGTTGTGCCCCAGACAATTCACAGCTGAGGCTCTTACAGGTGTAGGCGCTCTTTTGATCTCCTCACTTGTAACAGAGAACAGGATTTGGCCCATGATCTAACAGAGCAGCAGCGCAAGCGTGACGGGTCTGTTTGCACACTGCAGACACGGGCAAAAACCAGCTCCCGCTGGAGCACTGGGACACGTGCAATAAGTTTTTAATTTGTAGCCCTCTTAAACATCAGTCTCCAGGGAAAGTGGGTTCGTAGGCAGCCTCTCGCAAAAAGCAGAATTAAAATACTTGTTTCTCCTCTTCCCACTGTCCTGTGTTTTGAAGTGTTTCCAAACTGCAGTAGAGTTTGCTTTGAAGTTGGCGGAGTAAACCCTTGGCTGAATTGGGAAGGTGACGATGGAGAGGGGAGGATCAGTCACGCTAAGTGGAAGTGGTTTATTAATGAAAATATTGTTTTGTTTGTAGAAGGAAGAGTTAATTTTGCGAGAACACCTTTGAGGCTTTGCTGATAAAGCAAGAGTAACCTTTGTTCTTCCTGTTTTTCGGTAGGTTTGGATGAAAGACCGGGATCAGGTTCCTGGGGAACGGGAGATCAAAACAGCTCCACGTTTGACCAAGGAAGGGTAAGGATGAAGCATAAACACTGAGCTCCAACAAAAATAAACGGGGGCTTTATGATGGCTCTCAGCATGTGTGTTTGTGCCCAAGTTGATTCTAATACTGGAAGAGTTTTTTTCACCCCATTTTAGATGGGGGGCAGGGCTGGGCCTTGCTTGGGGGGTACCTACCGTGTTGGCTGGACCACGAGCATCGATGAGGGAGGGGAGGATTGAAAGGGTTCGGGAGGGAAGGAATCAAGGCTGCAACAGCACATAACTGGGGCCTGAGGAAGGGAAGAGAGAAAAGACATTAACTTAATTGAAATGGTGTTTTTTTGACAGATGCTCATGTTTTAATGGGTTTGTGTGATTCGTTTTCACAATAGCACCATTCTCTTCCCTTAGGTCAGTGCTGGAACAAGCACTGTGTCATTTCTCATTTTTATAGGCCTTCTCTTCTTCCCCCCGCTCCAGTTTGGGGAGGGGGAATCACATGAGGTCTTTGCCACAAGAAGCACTTCTCACCTGGTGGGTGCCAGGCTGCTGAAGGAAGGCAAAAATTGAATAGGAGCTGCCAGGGTGGGGCAAACTCCCTATATTTCTCTGCTTTGGTGCCACGTCTCCTCCTGCTGTGGTCTTGTGGCCACGCTGGCCTGCTCTCCCCAGTACAAGGAGAGGCGCTGGGCAGAGGATGAACAGAGCTAATGTCTTGCGCATTCATACATCACTGGCGAGGGTGGCCTTGAGACCAAACGCCATCTCTGCACTTTGGGGGATAAGATCACTTCTGTGTCCTTCTTAAAAGGTGACTCTGACCCTTCCCACTAAGTGAGTTTGCGTGTAGTGTGACTGATGCAACTTTGGGACTAAGTTGGTTTTTTTGGTATCTCCTGAGAGCGCCCAGTGAAAAAAAAAAGCAACTTGGGTCTTTCTCTTCCCTTCCTCAATTCCTGATACCAGGTTAAGACAATATCAGAAGGACTCACGCTGTGTTAAATTGTGCATCTGTGTACTTATATCCACACACACCTTGTATTTGGTTCAGTGTCCTCACATGTCCAGTAGTAACTGTCCTCTGTCACTTCAGCAGAACTATGGTGAAGGCCCCCATTACGGAGAGCACCGAGACCTGCCATCTCACAACAGCATATCTTCATCACCATTCCTGGGACCTGGACTGGTGGGTAAGTGTCCTTGAGCTGCCTGGTCAAAGCAGGTGAAATTTAACACAGGGGGCACTTACACTGGCCAGAATTATTGTTCTTCCCCCATCAAACCTTCTCCAGAAGGTGCTATCAAAGCTGTGTTTGAAGGAGCCGCTGTCCAGAGGGTCTCATCAGCCTTTAACATGTACACAACCGCCTTCATGTTTTAGGTGCATGATTTTTTTTCCGTTTTACAGTAGCACCTAGAGGCACTAGCAGAGATTGCCTACTGTGCTGGCACAGAAGAGGCTGAGTTTGCTCTTGGGAGCTGGTAATCAAGGGTAGGAAAGCACAGCGGAGGCAGGGAGAGACTCAACTCGTCCTCAGGGTCTCACAACAGGCTCGTGGCGGCTGGCTGCAGAGCCCAGGTGTCCAGGACTCTGGTGTGCGCTGGGGTCGCGCTCTGGAGTGAGCTGCTGAAGCTGCCGGCAGGTGATGGGAGGGAGCACCCCGGAGTGAGGGCACGTTTGTACACCTGCAGCCGTGGTGCCACCGTGGCAGTGCGCAGGTGCCACCGGCTGTATCCTCCTCTCTCTCCATGCTGTGACCTTCTCCCCGATCCCACGCTGGGTACCTGGGAGCACCATTGCGTGGCAGAGCCTGCCTCACTTTGCTTTGCAGTCTTGCAGAAACTCAGGGACAGCACAGTCCCCGCAGACAACCACAGGTGCTCCCTCCTCGCTGCAGTGGGATTTGGGGACATGTTCTTGTGCCCTGCTTGGGCAGAGCCTGCTGCAATGCTCTAGCAGCCCCTTCCAGCTCCTCCCTCTGCTGCTGCAGCCAGGCAGCATGAGGGAGAATGCATCTCTATGCTCCTGGTGGTCTGCAAGCACAGCACAGCCGCTGTCCCCCCTACATTTCCGGAGACGGTGATTGTGCGTCACCAGATGTAAAGAGGTGCGTGTGACCATTTACCCAGTTACCTCTCCAAGCTTGGGGGCGGAAGGAGAGATTAAGAGCAGAAAATATCCATCCTGAAGGGCTTAGAGAGCTCTAATTACATTAGGTAAGGAATTGGGGTTAGTCTTCCCCACTTTTTCCAATGCGAT